AAAATAAAACTATTTTGTTGTTAGTAACCATATCTAACCCATCTTATCATGATGCATGTTATTACTGGTAAAACTGATGTATTTCAACCAAATATTTCTCTTTATGAACTGGGACAGTGGGTTTGTTTGACTGACAGTCTGAATTGTCTGCACTCTGTTTCTCACACACCTGTCAGACACTGACGGACCAGCACTTTGTCAGCCAGAATTACCTTTTATCATGACATCTGGCGTCTCCTTTGAGCACAGGAGATAATGATGTGTGAGATACTGATCAATCCTGACCGGCTGCAGGCCTGATCCTCCGGCATGGGGAGATGGAAGTACGACCAAACTCTTACAACACGCTAATGGGATTTATAGAAATGAGTTTTTTGTAAATTCAAAGGAAAAAATATTTAGAATTGAATTCAATTTTGTTGAATTGCCTTTAGTAATGAACAACAACAATTACATTTCTGTCATCACCTTCATGTCGTTCCAAATCCGCAAGACCATCGTTCATCTTCGGTGCACAAATGAAGATATTTTGGATGAAATCCGAGAAATTTCGCTCTCATAAAAAGTTTAACATTACATTTGAACCACTGTAGTCACATGGACTAGATTATGTGAGCCATTAAAGCCTAATGTATCAAAAATTAAACTCAAAAAAAAAATTAAGCAATAATTATAGTATTTTAAAAATATTTTGTCTCGTTTAATAAAAAGGTTCAGTAAACTTTTCCAATTAAAAAAAAAAATTCTTAAAGGTGTTTTAAATGATTCCAGACATTTTGCAAATGTTTAGTTTTTTAGGCCAATAGACCTTATTCAGAGCAGCGCCATGACAGGTATGAAAGTGAGGCTGTGAGGGATAGACTTACCGTGTTTCCAATGGCATCCGCTGTAAAAAGCTGAATAAAGCTTCTAGATTACTTACAATTTTCCTCAGCTTACATTGTCGGGAGTTTTTTGTCAACTGACATTTCTTAGACAGATATTTTTCCAGTGTTTCATGAGCAGAACAATCCGAAAACGCATTAAATAACAGTACAGCCCATTGAAGAGATGCAAGTCTATCCCTCACAGCCTCGCTTTCATTCTCATTAAAAATCAAAGATGGCGCTGCCGTGAATAAGGCGTATACAATACCCTTTTTCCTTCCCAACTTTCTAGATCTGTCACATAGAAGGGTGTAGTTTCACAAGACACCAATTTCAGGTAGAACTAACATTTTATGCATGCAATTTTTTTTTAATCACTCACTCCACCTTTAATTTTTGCTTATTCCAGAGAGCTTTTCATGTCACACCTCTTCACGTTCACAGACCACCAGTCTCGAAATCCCCTTGGTAAAACTGTGGGGAAGTTAAAAGACATAAAAGAGAAATCTTTTGTTGTTTTTCGGGGAAACTGTTGTGTAGTGATTGTGTTTATTCTTGTTTTTCCCAAAGACGATTAGCCTTAGGAAGCCACAGCAGTTCTGTTCCCTCCCACCATTGGAGGAAGCACATCACGCGGCCATTAAGTCTGTGACATAAATGGAGAAATGTATGCTGTGATGTCTCCCCCTGTAGCTTTATTAACTGTGTTTGCTGGTATATTTGCATTAAATTACAACAGATGTTCATTTGGACTCTGCATCCACTCTAGTTCTGTTGTGAGCTACCTTGCTGTTAAGCACCTACTTAAACAATGTGAAAACTGGAGTGAAACCGCAAAGTGACCGATTTGAAACTTCAGACACAGTACAAGTAGTACTCTGAGAAACTCGTCTCGCGAAAGATTACAAGACAACACGACACCATTTTCTTCATCATCCAACTGGTAACTGGAGCTCTTTTTTGAGAAGTTTGGATATTATTGTTGAAATGCATTCTGGGATGAAATTACCCTCAAATCAAGATAAAGATCAGATCAAGGTGTCTTTGAAGGCAACAAATTTGTTGCTCTTATAATGCCAGTGCTATATATATAACTCACTAGGCTTTGAAAAAAAGCTGTTGTGTTTTAGTATATACAACACTATTATAGTATTTATTAATATTTTCAGATAACAATATTAATAAATAATATGATAAAAATTATATTTTTATATTTTTTAAATTTTACTATAATATTAAAAATAGATCTTTTTTTAAATATTTATTGAAAAATTAGGTTTTAGTAATTTTGTTATAGCTACTTTATTATTAGTTTTTTTTTATTATTATAACTTTATTTTTTTTATTTTTTTTTATAGTTTTAGTTAATATGAGGCCAGTCTTTTTTCTTTTATTTATTTATTTTTTTGCAGTGGAAACCAGTGATGCTTTTAAATTGCATTGGGTTGCAATTACTATGCTATAATAATCATACTGTATACTTACACATTTGACCTGACAGCCAATTCCAGGTGATAAAACTAGCAAAAAACACAGATAACCAGAGACTGACTTGGGCTACGCACTGAACAATACACACTGGCATAATTGAAAAATGTGAAAATCTCGTCGAATAGGCCTACTTTTCATACTGTGCTTTACAAAGGCTCCATTTCCCCTGCTCTTGTTGAACATGGTGAGGCCTGATGGGCCACATTTACAGCAAAAACCCTCTCAGATGGATTATTATTGGGACTCACAGGGGCTATTTATCATGCAGGAGGTGCTGAATGTGGGAATGTGAGATGGAAACTCAGTTATGGTGACACAGCTAATGTAATACAGTGAAAATTAATGGTAATAAAGCCTCTTCTAATGTGGCTGTGAGATTGAGCCCCTGAAGCACAATCACAGTTCTTGTTGTCTTTATAGATATCTATTTGTCATGCTGCTTTGCTGTCAGTATTCGCTGAATTCTTGGTTTTAACCTTTTTTTTTTTTTTTAAACCACTGATTCTTGAGACATGTGGCAAAACTGTTAACTTAATTTGCTTTCATTCCATTTATTATCACCACAATAAAACTGGTCAATAACACAACTGCTATAAAAAGAGAGATGGGATTCTGAAAGGTTTTGCTGGGGAAATTAATTTAATGACACTTTTAAATGCAGTAACTTGGGTTTGTTTTCAGCTGTGGTTACCATGATAGAATAAAGGGAATCCTGATAGACAAAGCTCCAGTTGAGATTAAAAGTAGAAAAGTGGTTATTTTAGAAACTCACTTTGATAGACTTACTTATTCTCAAATCAAATCTTCAAATATTTGTAATTAAGGTCCAACATTACGATGTTATATTTAAAAAAGAAAAAATAGGTGAACCCCAAATGTGAATTTTAATTCTGCTGTGTGTTGTGAAAAACAGTGTGAAAAATAGTTTGCTAACAAGTGGCAATAATTGAACATGATAAAAATATTGATCCAGATGCATAACCTTGTCAATGCCTGATGTTAGCTCCAGCCGCCGTTAGCATTCATTCTTTAAGATCAAATTCTGTTTAGTATGTTTGGTAACATTTGTTGTTATCCAAAAATTAAATCCAAAAATCGTTGCGGCTTCTCCTTACGTTCTCCATTTAGGATTTGATGTTCATTACCGCCATGCTGTCAGGGGTAGAAGGGGTAGAACTCATTTTGACTTTCTAATTGCTTCACAGCCAAATAGTTTAATTGGGCCAACACACAGATTATCACCTTAAGGATCAGTCAGGTACAAAAATGAACCTATTCAAATTTCAAAGTGCGTAAACCTCCGTCCCAACACTTAGTTGGCCACCCACTATCCAGCAGCATCTAAACTCAGTTTGTTACCTCATGATACCAATGATTAATAACGTTGCACACAAAGGCACCAACTCCCAAATAGGGCTGGTGGATTTCCGTGGGAAATTTGAGCATGTCTTTGCGTCATTATGTCACATCTGTACACGTAAAGAAGAGTCTCGGCTAGTAGGTTATATTGCGTTTGAGGATGTTGGAGGTGGAGATTTATAGCCTTTTCTCACAACACTTGATATAATTCAACTTATTAATTAGATGGCGGATCTAGAAAGGTTCAAACGACAATCACCAGAGACAACTAGAGACTCACCCGCTGTAAAATGTAAAAGATTTCGGAGTGGCTACAGAAAAACTGCAGAAAGACTGCAACCAGCCCATGCGAAAACAAGCATAAATATAAATATCGGAAGGCCATTAAATGTAGTCATGCAATGAGAACAAAGTATAATTTGCACAGTTTGATGTGATAAGCGATCGTTAGATTTAATCAGAGCGATTACAGATTGATTTACAGTTTTAAAAAAGATTATAACTTTGATCTACGTCAGAGCATCAGAGCGTCCACGAATCTTTCCACGGTGTCGCTGGCAGGGCGGCGGTGTGAACGTACGTCAGAACAAAAGTGGATGTTACTTACTTGTTCAGATGACATTTTCCAGTGAAAATTTTTATGTTGGTCATACTTTCAAAAAGAGTAATCTGTGATTCTGAATGACATTATCGCCGTGACGACTGACATTCCTCAAACATTGTGTTCATCAGGCGCTGTGCCGTGCCGAGGCACTACTCACGTAAAGTTGAAAATTCCGTGAATAACTGCAATTGCAGATTTCAAACAGAGATGGCGACAAAGAGGAAAAACTACGGACTGCAGCTTTAAATTAATAAGTAAATCAAAATAGAAATAATCCTAAAAAAGAAATGTATCATGATCCACAAAAATATTAAGCAACTGTTTTCAACATTGACAATAATCAGAAATGTTTCTTGAGCAGCAAATCCGACACTGCATTTAAGACTGCGGTAATGATGTTGAAAAATAATCTTCGCATCTCAGGAATAAATTACATTTCAAAATATATTCAAATAGAAAACAGTTCATTTAGTTCAGAATATTACTGTTTTACTATGTACTTTTGTTCTAATAAATATGAGCATAAGAAATTTCTTTCAAAAACAAATCACAGAAATTTACAATAATGCAGACTATATCGAATCAACTTCACAGCGCATTATGGCAAAGTATCTTATAAGACGGCATAATGTTGCATTTCCTTTTAGACTTTGCAGTAACTGATGTGGTGTTTTCCTCAGGTCCATGGGGCAGATGTATGGGCAGCGAGTGCGGGCCAGGAGGGAGTCAGAGTCGGGCGGTGTGGTGCGCTCATGTGGAAGGCTGGACGACTCTTCCCACAAACTGCCTTCAGTCCTTACGACCAGCCAACCAGCAGAGCTGCTTCCGCGTGTGCGACTGGCACAAGGACCTGTACGACTGGCGGCGGGGCGCGTGGAACCAGTGCGTTCCCATATCGCTGCGCACTGGCCGCGCAGGTGTTTGCTTGCAGGGCGAAGAGGGCATCCAGACGCGGGGGGTGAACTGTGCACTCAGAGCGGACGGCTCGGCGGCCGACGACTCCATCTGTGAGTACTTTGAGCCCAAACCCCGGCAGGAACAGGCCTGTCTCATTCCCTGCCCTCAAGACTGCGTGGTGACCGAGTTCACCCCCTGGACCACGTGCTCCAAGACCTGCGGGCTGGGCCTGCAGAACCGCGTCCGCTCCATAGTGGCGCCGCCGCTTTTCGGTGGGCTTTCTTGCCCCAATCTGACGGAGTTCCAGACGTGTGCGCCGAGGGCCTGCGAGGGCAGAGAGACGGTGTTCAATCTGAGAGTGGGCGGCTGGAGCGAGTGCAAACTGCCTTCTTTGTCTCCAACACCACCGCTGACACCGACATCCTCTGCCCCCCCTCCTCGCACCGTACGACAAGCGCGGCGGAGGAAAGGCAAAGAGAGGAAAGGAAACAGAGACCCGGAGATGCGCGAGCTGATCAAGAACAAAAGGAACCGCAACAGGCTGACTCGACTGGAGGATGACCTCTGGTATATCGAAGTAGGCTACCAGTCTCGGCAAGTGGTGTGTGTACATCGAAACAGAAGTACGGTAGCACTCAGGTTAGTGGCCTTTCCCATCAGACTTAAAGTCTAGTAGACTTGTTTTGACATGAATAAAATTGAGGTTGTGAAGTATTGAAGTGAAATCCGGTTAAAAAATCCGGTGAAATATTTATTTTTATTTTTAGCATTTATTTATTTGACGCATTGGTAAATATGAGTTAAGAATATTCATTTTTGGTCCTGTTTATTGATTGGTTTAAAATACATTAAAATGCAATTCGAATAATGTATGACAATGACTTTTGATGCTTTTTTTTCTGAATTAATGCTTTTATTTATTTATATATTTTCAATTGATTCTTTCAGATTGTAAATATATTGTGGTGTAACTCTTCGAAAACTTAATGATTATTAATAAATTCATATTAAGAAATAATCAGACAACATTAATATTAGTTTATTTAAAAAATGCATGCCATTTTTAAATTGTACAAATATTATTTTATGACGAGCATATTTTTAATTTCTCAATTTTGATATTTGCTTTTCATTCGTTCAGGTTGTTAAACGTCTCATGATGGGACTTCCCCCAAAACCTAATGATGTTTATGAATAAATCAATATAATTGTTGATATGAATTATTTGAATACATTATTATAATTATTTATATTAATATTAATAATAATAACACTCATATGAATCTATTCAAAATGCAATTTCTAAAAAGACTTAGATACACCTTTACTATGTTTGTAATTCCTTAATTATTATTTATTAATATTCCTTTAGATATTTTATTTGTATTAGTTCATGTAGGAAAATGTGTTGTGGTGCAGCACACAACATTTTTTATGAATTGATAAAGTTGATTATTAATTATCTAAAATAATAATTCATTGATAATTGTTGTTGTGAACACTCAATAGTCAAGACTACAGTCAAAAAGAAAATATTACTTGATGTTACACCACAATTCAGTTTTCCATGGAAACAGGCTTATATGCCATTGGCCCTCACATTAATTTTATATGGTGTCTAATAGGTGGTCGATTCTTATAAGACGCTTATATTGTGCTTGAGGCTTTCTCATTCTACATGTCTAATCTATTAATATTGAACCAACACTGGTCATTTTAATGTCTGCGTTAAAAGGGAATCTGTTACGTATTACTTTTTCTCTTGAGCTGGATCTCTTTTGTTGTAGTGCGAATGGTTAGGCTAATAGCGGTTAAATGTGTCCTAAAGCGAGGGATTCCGGTATGTGTGTGTGTGTGTGTTCTCCGTCAACCACTGACAGTAAGAGGATGACGGCTGTGTGACTCGTCTGGGTCTCCGCTGTGCTGTCAAAGTACTCCCACGCTTGATGTCTATTTTCAACTGTAGAAATGACAACTGTATATTCCCCAGCAGCAGATTGTGTGACACGGCAGGAGTCTGTGCCAGCACTTTCAGACGAGTATTAAATGTTCAAGAGTTTTGTAGTTATTTAAAAAGTTTTGGTGCAGCCTTAAAGGTTGTGTATCTCAGGCGTACAGTGTTTGGCCTTTGATATTTGAAAGAAAAATATTCAGAGTTTTCTTGCCTCAGGTTTCTCCAGGTAATGTTACGTTCACAGAAACAATCGACTGGCCAACATCAAGGATCGTCAAGCTTTTTCTATTGTCCGAACAAAACTGGGAATAGCCTTCAGATTAGTTTCAATTTAAATCTAAGTTTAAAAAAAAATCTTATCTTTTTAGACTGTGCGGATCTGGTGTGGTCATTCTTGTGATGAGTTTGGTAATACTTTATATTACGACCCGCAAACAACTGCGTAAGTAAACCAAAATTAGTATAGTGTACTTCCGTGTAGGTATAAGGGAACAATATGTTAAGTTTTGGGTTAAAAAAGGGGTAACAAGCAGATATACAACCTGCAAAACCAAAATTACAGTGTATGTTTCAATACGTTATATATATATATATATATATATATATATATATGGCTGTATGTAAGGTACACTTAGTGTACCTTTGTGCAGTGTTGCCTAAATTTTATGCATGCACTCCCATTGTTCAATTTCGAATTTCCTGCTAATTTTATTTAGGATTTGATGGACCTCTTCATAATACTCCTGCTGCTGCACTGAGGTTCTCCTGAATTCCCACAATTGAGTTATTCTTGCATTAAAGGACAGGAGAAACATCATTCTCATTTAAATGGAAATGTTGGCGTCCTCATTCTATCAACAAGCTGTAAACAAAAGCTCACCAAAATGTGCTACCCTGTGCTTAAACACAATGCATGTTAGTAATATTGGGAAGTGCAGCAATGCGCATTTCAGCAGAGCAACACAGTTTGATACCAATTTTACACTCAAGAAAATTCTTTGTTATCGGCTGGTTTCAATCAGTGGCTGATTGTTTTATAAGCAGGTACTGTTCGTTCAAACAGCTTGATGTGTGCTGGTACAGTAACTTTACATTATTTAAGGCTATTTTCAGTTTAATATAGTAGTAGTAGTAAAATCTTTATTTGTCCCTTTACAGGGCAATTTAAGTTGCTTCAACCTCACAAAACAGCAAAACATCACAGACATTACACACACACACAAAAAAAAAAAAAAAAAAAAAAAAATATGTTGAACTGTTGTCTTCAAGTGAGCTTGTGTGTTGTTTTAAACTGTCCTGGACTGGTTCTGCTGCAATGCTGGTGAATAGATCTTATTCTTCCTTGTGCTAATAATTTGTTTTTGCCCAGTCCTAGTCACAATTTTGGCAGTAGCCCATAGTCGCTATAGCCAGACCGATATATCGGCAGACCGATATTATCGGCCGATATTAGGCATTTTCCAAACTATCGGTATCGGCAGTTATAATGGCCGATAAATGAATATTTCAAAAATAAAATAAAAACGGACGAAACACACTTGAACCATGTCATGAGTGTTGGAGTTATATAGTTTGTCCACTAGAGGGCACTCTACACGGTTCCTGTTGACAACACTCGTTGAGTTGGTCACGATACATATATTGCTTGAATAACAATTAAAAGAACATCCCCATCAGTTCTCTTAACTCAAATAAGTATGACAAAATTTGTGACTATCATGTCCAGTTTAAAATAAATAAATAAATAAAATATCGGCCGATATATCGGAATATCGGATTTTCAAACCCAAAAATATTTGTATCGGTATCGGTCTTTAAAATCCTTTATCGGTCGGGCTCTAATAGTCGCTATTCCATCAACAGACTGGCACACTCCATTTCTGCCAAAAATACAGTTTACCTGTGGCTACTGTCCATTTTATACCTCAGGAAAAGTTATTGTGCTGCAATATGGTATCGTTATGTTGCCATATTGCGAGACATCTTAATTGGGGTTTAAAGTGGGTGGAAAACAGTCCAGCTTTGAAGTTTAAGAGTCCGGGCTGCCCTGAGGTGAGTTTGGCACCTAAATGAGCAGTTGCTAAATGAAGCCACGCTGGAAAGGAAGCAGTAATTATCTGTAATAGCTCGTCAGCTGCAACGCTTACTGAGATAATAAGAGACCATGAGAAACTGTTGCATTTACACTCCTCAGCGTTAAACTACCGGCCACTGAAACACTTACTGTACAAAAGCTGTTGTTCAACTGCAAATTGAGTTAAGTTACAAAAACATGTCATTAAGGTATTCAAAGATAAAGTGTTGTGATTATTTAATTTGATAATTTATATTATTATTAGGTACAAAGATACTGTACATTACAAAAGTTGCCATACATCACATTTTTCTTTGAACATTTCAACAATGCATGGGATAATATTAAACTCATGTAAGCTTTAAAATTCAATCATCTATTCTACCAAGAAGAAAGCTGACCATTTTCAGGTTATAGCATTTTATTTTATAATAAAATACTAATAATGTTTTAATAAAATAAAATAATTATTTATCATATTTAATGATATTTATATTATCATGTTTGATTTTTGTAATTGTACTCAATTTAACTAGATTTTTTTTCCTAACATTTTATTATTATATCTAAAATTTAAAAATATGTATATTATACATATGTTAAAAATAAAAAAATTAAAACATATGTATATGATAAAATATGTTAAAATATTAAAAAATATGTATATTATAATATTTATATTTTTCTTAATTTAATTATAGTATAAATATATAATACATAAATATAGTTTAGACTTATATTGCAATGAAAGTCCACTGAGGCACCTTGTGTAGAACCCAAGTGCAGTTTATTTAACATAAATGTGAACTGAATACAAACTAAACAAAGACTTGAACTGAACTAAACCGAAACAACAGTGGGTACACGGACAAAGCTATAACATGAGGGCTATATATACACAAAAACTAATGACTAACAAGAAACACCTGTGAACAATCAACCAATCAGAACACAGAACAGTACAAGACATGATCACATGGGGAAGGAATCACATGACACAAGCAGGAACCTATGAGAATTTCTAAATGAAAGACATGAACACAAACAAAACCCAAGCCATCGTGACACATATCACTCTCATAAAGACATGGTGTTAACTGTAAAATAATGATTATCTTGTCGTTTTGACTGACCAGTCTTTCTATCCCTCTGTCCTGTATCAGCCAGTGTCCTCACTGGAGTCTTCCGGAGACCTACCAGTCCTGCCTGATGCCTAAAGACTGTGTGGTCAGTGAATGGAGCAAGTGGGGCGTGTGCTCCAAGACCTGCTCGGACTCCAGTGTTCCTCGGGGCACACGCTCCCGCAGCAGACAGCTGGTCCGGCTTCCTACTGGAGGAGGGTCCGAGTGCCCCGACCTGGAGGAAAGTCAGTCTTGTGAACCTGAAGGGAACGGGGTGCCACCCTGCGCCATGTAAGTACCACGGACATGCTAGACCCGTGTCCTCACTACATTTTGCGTTTGTTGATCATGTATATGTTTTCAAGCCTTGCAAAGTCCCTGGTTGGATGTTTCTCATGATGTACTAGATAGTGTATTGAAAAGTGAGGCGTAATAAGTGGTTTTTGGTGCTGTCGTTTCATTGTAAACACAAAGTACAGTGAAATCAATACCAATTAGACACAGCATGCAAACTTTTCTACTATTATATGTACTCTCACCTAAAGGGTTATTAGGAACACCAATACTGTGTTTGAGCACAGTGAACTCATTTTCATGTTCAAGAAAGCAATTTGAAATGATTCGAGCTTTGTGACATGGTGCATTATCCTGCTGGAAGTAGCCATCAGAGGATGGGTACATGGTGGCCATAAAGGTACAGACACGGTCAGAAACAATGCTCAGGTAGGCCGTGGCATTTAAACGATGCCCAATTGGCACTAAGGGGCCTAAAGTGTGCCAAGAAACATCCCGCACACCATTACACCACCACCACCAGCCTGCACAGTGGTAACAAGGCATGATGGATCCATGTTCTCATTCTGTTTACGCCAAATTCTGACTCTACCATCTGAATGTCTCAACAGAAATCGAGACTCATCAGAGCAGGCAACATTTTTCCAGTCTTCAACTTTTCAATTTTGGTGAGCTCTTGCAAATTGTAGCCTCTTTTTCCTATTTGTAGAAGAGATGAGTGGTACCCGGTGGGTTCTTCTGCTGTTGTAGCCCATCCGCCTCAAGGTCGTGTGTGTTGTGGCTTCACAAATGCTTTGCTGTATACCTCGGTTGTAACGAGTGGTTATTTCAGTCAAAGTTGCTCTTCTATCAGCTTGAATTAGTCGGCCCATTCTCCTCTGACCTCTGAGAAATTGAACTGGTGTTCCTAATAATCCTTTAGGTGAGTGTATAATATAAGTGATACATATTTACTGTTCAAAAGTTGGGGGCATTAATTATTTTAAAATACTTAAAATATTCGGCAAGAGTGATCAAAAGTAACAGCAAATACATTCAGAATGTCACAAAAGATTTCTATATCAAATACATGCTGTTCTTTTGAATTTTCTATTCATCAAAGAACCATGAAATATGGTTCCCACAAAGATATGAAGCATCACAACTGTTTTCAACATTGATAATAATAAGAAATGTCTCTTGAGTAGCATATTAGAATGATTTCTGAAGGATCATGTGACACTGAAGACTGGAGTAATGATGCTGAATATTCAGCTTTGCATCTCAGAAATAAATTATATTTCATAATATATGTTTTACACCTGTCCATCTTTGCATTTGACTGCAGTCTCCAGCAAAAGCAGTTTGTCGACTAGTTTTTTTTATCTGTAAAAAAACATAGCTTTTGCTAGAAACGTATGGCATATGCAAAGATGGACTGTTATAAAAATATCGATATGCTATTCTGTTATTCATTCTTGCCGCGGGGTCAGTAAAAATTTTGGCAGGGGATTAAAAGACCTACTATTGGCTCAACAGGGTCAGCAGGGAAAAAAATCCATATTGTTGAGCCTGTGATATCTGCATGCATGATTTCAAACAGTCAATATGATCGAGTGCTTTTGAATTGCAGATGTAACACTTTCTTATTTAGACATGACATCCAGCATCAGTGTGCTCTCTTATCACTGCTCGGGATCAAAGGTTTTCATTAAGATGGTTTTGTGTCTGTGAAAAATGAAAGCGATTGGAGGGATAATATGATGTGATATACAGCAACATATTGATGTCATCTTGTCATGTCTCATTTTGTGTCAACCCGAAGGAAACAGTGTTGCTGGAGTTGCTATTTCAAACCTCAAAAGATTTAATGTGGTTCCTAGTAAGCCTGTCATTGAGGTTTCAAGACGTCAGAGAATCAGAGTATGAGACAATTATTGATGTACAGCAAAAATACCGATCAATAAAATGAACAACATTGGCTCATTTAAAACTCATGGCTCTACCTACAATGTAGGTCCTACACATTTTGCAATTCACTGCAGTTTTACAGCTGGAATGAACATGACAGTAAAACATCAACAACTTGTATTATTTTTCTCACAAATGATGATTACAGGCCAGGGACAGATCATTGATACATAAAGACTGATTTTTGTTCGGTTCCTTACACAGTATAACACTTGATTTGTAAACTAATACATTTTTGACTTTCACATCACATAACCAGCTCCATATGTATGTCTTTTCTAACATAGTAAACTTACCCAGTGGCTCAGCATTGCACTTGTGATGCAGAGTCTGTGAAACGCATGATAAAAGAGCTCAAACACTTGTTGAGGCAAGCTAAAATGGCTTGGCCGCTTCAGAAAAATGTTTTTATCTCATGTTTTGCAGCCTAGGCGCATTGGAAAAACATGCCTTTGGCAACACTTCTCCAAAATGACATTACGTTGCATCTTGCACATTTTGCAATACTTTCAAAGTTAAATCTGAAATGGATAAATATGGATTTGGCAACGTTTTATTGAGTTGGTTGTACATATTGTGGCAGTTCTGAATTTAAATGTACGGTGAATGTCGCTAAAAGGGGGATGGTGTATCGTGTTTGAAAACGACGTACCACTTAAACTTAACCACTTAACCATAAACATATCTGAAAGAGATAAACATGAACCTGACAATGTTTTAGTACATTACTTATAAGTATCGTGGCACTTCGGAAATGAAATATCCGAACTGACTTATGAGGAACATTATATGGAAGCTTGTTTCCGCCATAGAATGAAAAATATAAAAGGTAATTGCGACTTTTTATCTCACAATTCTGACTTTTTGTCTCACAATTGTGA